AATTTCGTCTTTAGGAGAAGAGTATTCGTCTACCGTATTTGCCTTAAAGGCGGCTAGTTTATCTACTCTTTCCTATAAGGAACTAGTTTAACGACTACGGGACGTTAAATATACTATTACTACTTCTAAAAGCGATAAAGTAGTAGCCCGATATACTAAGGAAGCGGTAAAAGATAAGGCTAGTAACGGAAAGAAGGGTAATACGCCTAATATACCTAATAAAGCTAAAGGAAAGACGTATTACTATTACTAAAAGGTCGGGTACTTTAAACGGGACTATAGGAAGTATAAATAGGACTAAAAGAACGGAAAAGTCTAAGAGAATAATAAGGAGGAATTAAAGATCGCGGCTTAGACGGCTATCGATTCTACGACTCGACTATCTAATAAAGGGGATTAGATCCTAGACTCTAGATATACTAGATATATATTAAACGATAAGAACTACTTTACGGACTATAAGGATATAACCGGAAAAGTTACTCTAGCGAACGGTAAAATAATAAAGGTTATAGGGTCCGGTATAATCTTCGTCTAGTTTAAGGGAATTCTAACTACGATTCCGGACGTTATATACGTACCCGAGATCGGTTATAACCTGCTTTCGATAAGCTAACGCTAGGAACGAGGTATTACGGCTCTATTTACTAAAGAAGAGGCTATATTTCGAAGAGGAAACGAAGAACTAGTAAGAGGAGTACGCGTCGGGAGGTCCTATATTTAAAAGGAACCCGGATCTATCGGGACTTCGAGAGTAGTTACTCTTACGACTAAAGGTACTACGCTACTTTAGTACCGACGCCTAGGATATCCGGGGGACGAAAAACAACGAAACGTATATAAAGTACTACTAGGAGTCCTAGAGCTTTCGACGTTAAATAAGTGTTACGAGACTTATATTACTACGAAGTTCGATAGACGATAAAGTTAAGAAGAAACCGAAAAAGCAGATTATTACCTAGATAGGGTATATATCGATTTTTAGGATACGTATAAGTATAATACCTTAGAAGGAAATAGGTATATACTAACGATTACGGACGACGCTACGAGACGGTTAGATATCTGTCTTACTCGCTATAGAAGCGACGTATACGAAGCATTTAAGGCTTAGAAAAACGAGGCCGAACTCGAAACCGGGAGGAAACTAAAGGCCGTAAGAATCGATAACGCTCCGGAGCTTATTAAAGCTGTTAAGGCCTATCTAGGACTACGAATCTAAACGACGACGCCCTATACTCTAGAACAAAACAGAGTAGTAGAGAGACAAAACCGTACTATTATAACTAAGGTACGGGCAGCTTTAGAAGGGTCCGGATTACCTAAACGATTTTAGGGTAAAGCGGCCTATATAGTTACCTATTTATATAATAGGCTATTTATAAAAGGAGGAGATATAACTCCCGAGGAGCGCTATACCGGAAGAAAGCCTAGCCGAGAATACTTACGGGTATTCGGCTACCTAGCCTATCTATTTATTCCTAAAGAGAAAAGGAAAGACAAGCTAGAAAAGACGGCATTCCCGGGAATCTTCGTCGGATATACGAAGTCTATAAGATAGTATAGGATCTATAATCCTAAAACAGACGCTATTAGGATCTATACTAGCGTTAAATTCGACGAATCGACTAAGGAAAGTAGCCTACTATCCGGAGAAGAGCTACCTACCCTACGGCCTATTACGGATAACGACGACGGAGATATCGATCTCCTAGATAAAGGAGAGTCTCGAGAAGTAGAGGGAGAAGAAGTAGAGGGAGACTCTAAAGCCGAAGATAATACTCTAAAACCGTAAGACGAAGACGACGGTTTAAATAACGACGACGATAGAACAACTCGAGAACCGTCTTCTATAGATTCAAATATAAACGAAGGAGAATTACGAAGGTCTATAAGGGTATCTAAAGTCCCGAAGAGACTAAGGGACGAGATAGGACTAGTAGCTCTAAAAGTCGACTATCGAAAAGCTTTCGAAATACCTATTCCCGAGACCTATACGGAAGCTATTAGCGGCCCTTACTCCCGATAATAGAGAGACGCTATTAAAGAATATATAGAGTCCTTAACGGCTAATAATACCTACGAGATCGTCGACTATTCTAAGCTAAAGAACGGAAAAGGGCAAATAAACGTTATTACTCCGAAATAGATTTTTAAAGTAAAAATACTACCGAACGGACAAATCGACAAATTTAAGGCGAGATTAGTAGGAAAGGGCTTTACGTAACGCTATAGAATCGATTACTTTAAGACGTTCTCTCCGGTAATACGTCTCGAAAGCCTACGCCTTCTCCTAGCTATCGCCGCTATTAAAGGACTTACTATATTCTAGATAGACGTAGTAAGTACCTATCTACTTAGAGAACTAACGGAGGAAGTCTATCTAGCTATCCCGGAGGGCCTAGATGTTCCCGAAACTAATAAAGTACTTAAACTTCTAAAAGGAGTACTAGGACTAAAACAATCCGGACGAGTTTAGAATAAGACTATTACGGCTTTCTTCGAAGAATACGACCTCTACGCTATACCCGCGGATTAATCGGTCTTCGTTAATCGCGACTATACGATAATAGTCGCGCTATACGTCGACGATCTTATTATACTAGCGAAGATAGAAGCGGAGACCAAACTACTAAAAGACGGGCTTACGAAGAGGTTCGAAATAAGAGATCTAGGGCCCGCTAAGTTTATACTAGGCGTACGAATCGAGAGAGAAGCCGACGGGTCTATACTACTAGACTAAAAGCACTATATCGAAAATACGCTTAGGGAAGAAGGCCTCGATCTAGACGAAAGAACAGTCTCGCTTTGATTTCGGGTCGCGGACCAGGCTGCTGTCTGGAAAGAAGGAGAACACACGTCATATAGTGCCGAGAAAGTGCTCGCTCATCCTATGAAAGCCGCGCAGGTGTCTTCGACATCTTCATCCTCTCAGTCCATCCCATCTCTAAGCTATCAAGTCGCCGAACCCGACATTCTGCTACAATGTCCTTATCTTCTCAGTCCATCCCATTCCCAGGCCATCAAGCGGCCAACCCGGACATTGTACCACGCCATCCTTATCTTTTCAGTCCATCTCATTACCAACACACCAAGTCGCCGAACCCGACACTCTGCTACAATGTCCTCATCTTCTTAGTCCATCCTATGCCCAGGCCATCAAGCGGCCAACCCGGACATTCTACCACGCCATCCTCAACATTCCAGTCCATCTCATTACCAACACACCAAGTCGCCGAATCCGACATTCTGCCACGATATCCTCGTCTTCTCAGTCCACCCCATGCCCAGGCCATCAAGTGGCCAACTATGACATTCTGCTACTTGACCATCATCTTACGCAATAAGGCAAGGCGTACCTCCAACTTCCCAGCAATTTGAATGGGAGCTCGCCCTTTGCCGTCGTTGTTTGGCGTACGATCTTCTCGATTTCGTACAATGCCGTAGATGTTTCTGCTTTCGTCTGCGCTTGTTTTTTCACGGCCTTCCCCGGCGCTGGCAGCTTCGGATTGTTTGTGTGCTTGGGCTCATCGGTCGTCTGCTCGGGCCCGTTCTAGGAAGCGGTGGAAGCCGCATAGGATGTGCACGAGGATCGCGAGGCACAAGCGCTGGCGGAGCGCTCTGTTGCCTTCTCGCTTCTTTGGTAGCGATTTGGTAGCATCGGTGAAAACCTTGGGGAGAGATTTATGATTTCGGTGCCGTGGCGAGAGCATGTCGTTGCTGCTTCGGGCCTAGGAATAGCGAGGCATTCTTGTGCGCATCTAGGATCCTGGGCCGGAAGTGGTGGCTGCTTTTGCTGCGATGGGCGTAGCTTGGCGCTTGGTTGTCACGGCGTCTGTAACCCCCGATAGGATGAAGTAAGCGCGTAGAGACAGCCTCAGGCTCGGGAGGGCGTAGCTTGGCGCTCGGTTGTCACGGCCAGCCCCAAATCCCAGCGCCTCCTTGAGGGGTCGAGCAATAGAACTACGAGACAGAGAAGAACGACACATCCAACGGGCGAGGCCGCTGGGTCGCTTCGATCTCTGACACGAGTCTTCTATCCTGCACGCTGAGTGTTCAAGCCGACAAACCAATGTGCTGAAGCTCGACACCGCCGGCGGTAACCATGTGGAAGATGCCTTCGCGGCACTGTTAGCAGTCCTCCCCCCCAGACCAGCGAGATACAATCTAATCTGGCACAGCACACTTCTATGGCATCGCAGATGCACGCCAGCAGGGACATCAGATGAACGACACACACGCCCACGCCCACGCGCCTTGAAATCGCGTCCGCCTACCCGCCGAGCATTCCCGTCTGCCTTCGCGATTCGAGACCGACTTCCGAGGAAGCACCCATCGCAGGAGATGACAAGGAGAACGAGACTGTGCTGCGAAGGTGCAGATGCAGGCCTCAGACTGCAGTCGAGAAAGAGTATCAGCTGGCAAAGGTGAAGGAGATTGGGACTGCAAAAAGCACGAGGCTCTCTCTGTAAGCTTCGAGGGGCATGAGACGGCAAAGGAGAGGGAGATTAAGACGAGATCAAGAACGAGGATATCTGTACAAGCTTTGAGAAATACATTAAGATTGCAAATGAGACTGAGCCTGTCGCTGCACATGCGATCGAGCCTGCCGCTACAAATGAGATTGAACCCCGTTGCTACAAACGAGATCAAGCCTGCCGCTGCAATCGAGATCGAGTCTCCCGCTACAATGGAAAACGAGTCTCTCGCTGAATGAGACTGAACCCGTCGCTGCATATGAGATTGAGTCTGCCGCTACAATTGAGCTACCGAGAAATCTTGAAGAAAGCCAACTTTCCCCCCCGTCCTCGCATTTATTTCCGCTCCTCTCCACGCGCATTGCGCGGCCTCTTGAACAGTGCAGCGTCATGTACAGAAGTTCCAGGCGTAGCGACTAAGTCCTGATCGACACACGACTGAGTATCATCTCGAGGATGTTCTAAAGCAGAGCCAGCACTGGACTGGGCAAGACTTTGCGCACCAAGGTCCTGCGACAAGCCGGATTCCGACTGCTCGGGGAAGCGCAGGTCAGAATTCGACACGGAGAAGCTGACGTGGGCGGGAATCTGGTCAATGGCGGAAGAGATTCGAGCAAAGTGCTCCGGCATCCAATTGTCGTAGACGTTCTTCGTGAACTGGTATGCTGTCCACTTCTCCTTCCCGTCTTGGTCCATAATACCGAAATCGCGGATCATGTGGCGGTGGTACGTGGGTTCTGGGCCGCCAATGTCGGCAAAGTATCCATGTATCCTGACGCTGCGATCGTGGTGCGAGACGGACCAGGCAAGAATTTCACGATGAAGCTCCTCTTCGCGTCCGACGAGCCGGAACAGCTCCACCACCGCTCGTACTGCAATGGCGGCGCTGTGGGCGTTCTGGCGGTCGGCAACGTCAAGAGGTGCATTGCCAGCCTTCACCTCGCTGGTCAGGAAGGGAAAGTACATGTACGAGGTTGCCTTGAAGTAACTGGATGGCTCGTCGCGATCACCAAGGAATGGCTTCATCTTGTTGTACTGCTCTTGCGTGAAGGCTTTCTCGCGGAAACCAACTGAGAAGTCTGGCTTCGGTCGCGTAGTCGTAATGGCAATAGAACAGTCCCAGGTTTGATTGACGCTCTCTACCAGGCGCTCCAAATGTCCTGCGCCCCGCTTTGCGAGGTTTTCTGCAGATGGGACGATGAGGTCGCCGATGTCTCGAATGATCCTGGCCTCGTTTCGATTGTAAATGCCGCTGCATGTAGCCTCGAAGAGATCATCCCGAAAACCAGTGTCTCGAGGATATTCTTGCGCCGTTTCACGCAAAATCTTGCACAACTCTCTGCTCTTCTCGTTTGCCTTGGTGGACGATGGCAGCTTCATGAAGACGCCTTTGGTTTCGAGAAGTTCTTCGTACCGCTGGCTGCTGTATTCACTGCGCTTCGAACCGCCCTGGTCTGACGAGCTTCGTGTTGCAGAGCCTACGTCTGAGGCATTCTTACTCCGCCCAGACACAGATCTCTTCCGCGCGAGCATGTGCTTCTCCATGTGTCCGCCCTGTTCACAGTATTGTCGAGGCCACCGCTTGTACGCCGCCCAGTATGCGATTGGATCGCCGCCCTTGTCGTCGTGGTGGCTGCCTCGTGAGGCTAGTTTCGCTGGACTCTCTTTGGCAGGTTCCCGCCGTCGCTTGCGCCGCTTATGGGATGCTTCTGCTTCTATGCGCGACGCTGGTTCGGTCTCGTGCTGTGGTCTCGATCGCTTCCGACAGACTGTCGCAGGCTTCTCGTGATGCGCGTGCGATTGCGACGCCTCGAAGCGCGCACTCTTGCGCGGCAGTTGATGTTCGTGTTCGTGCTCGTGCGGCCGAGTCCTCTTCACTGTCTGCCAGTCAGTTGTGCGCTGTAAATGTTTGGGTGGCCCGGGCACGATACCTCCAGCGTTTGGTAGATGTGTGGTCGGGCGATGGTCGTCGCTTGCCAAAGCCGCCATGGTTGAAGAGGATGAAGAGGCGGTGTGTCAGCGCTGGCAATCTGATGACAAGCTCCGCATGGAGATGGAGATGCGGAGAGAAAGATCGGGATGTGGGGTGGGCAGGTATGCCGAGTGCCAATCCCGCTCCACCCACATTGCCACCCCACGTTCTCGAGACGGGGGATGTCTCGCTCGCGTTACTCCAGCTCAGACAGAAAGAGCAGCACAACATCGTACAATTCCACAACGGCACCTACTCCACAAGCTGTCACTCGCTGACAGCTTACAAAGTAAGAGCAGCGCAGCATCGTACGAGTTCACGACTGTGCCTACCACACAAGCTGTCAGCGAGTGACAGCTTAGACAGTAAGAGCAGCACACAGCAGGTAGCAACGGACGGATGCATCAGTAGGTGCACTGCAAGGAGGGAAGGCAGTTGATGTAGGTAGAGATGCAAGGACAAGTGCCAACTGAACCTTCTCCCCTTCTTCTTTCTCGGTAGCTGCATCAAGGCCGCAGGCTCAAAGGCCACCCTTTGAGATCGAGTCCTCTGACACCATCGACAACGTCAAGTCCAAGATCCAAGACAAGGAGAGAATCCCACCAGACCAACGCCGCCTCTGCCTCTGCCTCTGCCTCTGCCTCTGCCTCTGCCGCCGCCTCTGCCGCCGCCTCTGCCGCCGCCTCTGCCTCTGCGATCGCTGCCTCCCTCCGCCGCCATCATGTCTGCCTCCGCCTCCGCTCCTGCTTCTGCTGCTGCTGCGCCCGCCGGCCCTCTTTTGGAAGAGGAATATTTTTTCAATCAAGCTGGAAGAAGAGCGGCCGCAAGGCCCGATCATTTGATCATTTGGCTGCAGTCGCACGTGCATCAGACAGCCCAACGGCTGTTGGAAACTCATGCATACGAGCGCTTTTTTCGGGAGAAATTCCCACAACAATACCAGGCCTTTATGGCAAATTTTGAGCATGCGCGGGAGCTGGAGCAGCAAGTCTCGGCCGTCAGGCCAAAAATCGAGCTCGAGAGGACTGCCGTCGCCAGCGTCTCGCAGCAATGGCCGGACTGGGACTGGACCATCCCTGGAAACAGGACTCCTCCCTTCTGGCCTGAGCGCTCGCTTGCGACGCTCCGCTGGATTGCGCTTCGATATGAGGAGTGGCGCCCTCTTGTCGCAAGGCTGGTCGAGATTGTGCGGCACAGACTGGTCTCGCCGTCTGGAGCTGGCGTGCCAGCGGACTGGCACTTGATGCCATGCGATCTGCGAGAGCTGCGCGCCGAGCTGGAGGAGATGGAGGAGAAGAAGAAGAAGCTGCCTTCTCGCAGTCGAAGCCGCTCTCCGGAGCAAGGCCGTGCTGGTCAGCGGCCACTGTCGGACGGCCGGTCTTCGACTTTTGTGGGCTCGAATGCTCCCTCCATGCCCCGAGCATCTTCCTCGCGCCTCTCATCTTTGCCCTTGCCGCGCTCCTCCCTCCTGCCGCGCTCCTCCCACCGGCCCTCATCCTCCTCCCGGCCCTCCTCTTCCCTCGGGCCCTTGCCCTCTACGCCCCCGCCTCCGCCTGCTTCGCCTCCTTCGCCACAGCGGCAGCAGCGCAACATGGCGCCAAAACCTCGCGGTGCTGCAGCCAAGCTGGTCCGCGCCGCCGAGAAGAGGGAGGAAGAAGATCGCCAGGCTGTGCTGGACTGCCGCGATCCAGGAAGGCTGCCGGAGTTGACGCATCGGCACCAGGCCGCCATAACCTGGCTTCAACAGGCCAAAGTTTTGGCCGACTCCTGCCCGGAGCATTGGGACCAGTAAAGTCCTCTCGGCGGCACATTGGAGTTGTGGGTGCACTCCTTTTTCGAAAACCCTCGCAGATGGAAAACTGGGTAAAAGCTACCCTGGCAATGTACTCGCACCTTGACGTGGTGCTGGGGCTTTACAGCAAACAACAAAGCTGGACCAAGTCGAGTACAAAGGACACTGACACTTCTTCCTTTCGTCGTGAAACATGAAGCGACACTCTCCTACCGATGGCACGGTAGACGCCGCAGGCAGAATGAGTTTCCAGCGGCCCTTGCGGCATTCCCTTTCTCTGCCGATGGCAAGGTCGATCTCTTCCGCAAATCTCGAAAATCTTTCTACCGATGGCAAGGTGAATGGTTGTCGAATAATCCTCTCCGGGCCTCGCATTATTGCTCTCCAGCAATTCTCAAGTCCCTCTCAGTATCGACGATAGGGAGGTCGATGCAGGGCTCTTCAGGCGGTCCTTCCAGCACGTAGACTTTTCCGCGAATCTCGAAGCTCCCACTGCCGATGGCAAGGTAGACGGTTGCGGAATACCGCTCCTCAGCTAATCCCCAGTCTCTCTCCCTATAGACGATGGCAAGGTCGATGCAAGGTTCATTTGGCGGTGTATCTTCGGCGAATCTTGAAACTCTCCCCACCGAGGGCAAGGGAGATCAAAGCGAAGGACTCTTTAGGCGGTTCTAGCGGGACTGAAACTCTCCCTACCGATGGCAACGTAGATGATAGCGAAATACGCTCTAGGCGGTCCTTCTAGCGTTAGAGCTCTCTCTCTATCGATAGCAAGGTAGACGATAGCGAAACACTCTTTAGGCGATGTTTGCACTACGTAGTAGCTCCTCCGCGAATCTTAAAACCGTCCCTCCCTACTAATAGCAAGGTAGGTAATAGCGAAGCACTCTTCGGGCGGTCTCTCCTATACGTAGGCTCTTCTACGAATCATAATACCGATAGCAAGATTATAATACCGATAGCAAGATACATATAATAGCGAAAAACTCTTCGGGCGGTCTTTCTAGCATTTAGTAGGGTCTTCTATAAATCCTAAAACTCTCTCTCTATACCGATAGCAACGTAGATAGCAAATTACTCTCTAGGCAGTCTTTGCAGTATATAATAGGGTTTTCTATAAATCTCTTAAGGCACGCTATACCGATAGCAAGGTAGAGAAATAGCGAACTACTCTTCTAATTCGAGTACTATCCTAAAACTTAAGAAACCTTCCCTACGATAGCGAGGACACTAGACTAATTTGCGGCGATAGCTTAGTCCTAGACTACATTTACGAAAGCAAGGTTAATTAGCGTTATATTGCTCTTTAGTTTAGTCCTAGCAGGATACTTCGGCACCTCTTCTTTCCGGCCTACCGATAGTAGGGCAGACAGCTATATTACGAGGGTTCTATTCCAGATTACTAATTATAGGCAAGGTGCACCTCGTTAATAGACACTAGTTCTACGGACTACCGATAGCAAGGTAGAACTTCGCCTCTTTATCTTTAGCGAGGCTATTACGATGCCGTCTGCTCTCCGCACTACTAATAGTAAGGTAGATCTTTATCATTCTCGTTATGAATAGAGCTTAGGTCCTACGACGCATGTTATTATCCCGATGCACTCTTCTCTATAGACTACCGATAGCAAAGTCGAGGCATACGATTCCGAAGTATAGCAAGATACTCTTCGTTTACGAATGCATCTTACTCTACTAATCGCAAGGTATATTAGGCAACAAACTCTCTAGGAACCGTTAACTAGGCTAGCGCTCGTTAGTATAACCGATAGTAAGGCGGATTATATTTGCGTACTCTCCTCTCTAGACTAAGGATTGTAAGGAAGGTCGACTACGTTTATAGTAGAGATGTAAAAACCTTAGTAATTATAATAGTAATAGTAAATAGTAAATAGTAAAGTCAAATTGGCAATAGTAATAGTAATAGTAATAGTAATCCTATAGAGAATTCTATAGTAATAGTAATAGTAATTACTAGTATACTATTTTAGTATAGTAAATTGTATTCTATACGAGTCCTAGTATCTATTTCTCTAGAATATATTATAATATTTACTATAGAAATATCTAGTAAAACTATAAAGATTTTAATTTTTAAAATTCTAATAATAGTAGTAGGTTCTTATAGAAGTTAATATCTTTATAGTTTCAATAGATAAACTATTAAAGAAATTCTATATAGTTAAATTTTTTTCAAGACTAAACTAAGTCGACTATATTACGAATGCTAGTAAATTAAATAAAACAGGATTTAGAAAGAACTACTTATTTATTAGTAATTACAATTATACAAGTTATTATAGTAAGGTATTTTATATATAAGTCCTAATACTTATTTTACTAGAATATATTGCAATATTTACTAGAGCTATATCTTGTAAAACTATAGAGAGCTTAATTTTCAAACGTTTTAGAATACATTTTTAAAGAAATTAATATTATTATATGTTTATTAGATATACTATTTTAAACTAAATCTATATATAGCTAAAGAAAATCTAATTTTTCTTATATCTAAACTAAGTAGGCTATATTACCAATTCTAATAAACTAAAATAAACTAAATAAATTAATACTTAAAGAGAATTAATTATTTATTGGTAATTACTATTATACTATTTATTCTAACAAAGTGCAACCTATATCAGTCCTTGTCTTTATTTCTCTTAAATATATTATAATGTTTTCTAGAGCTGTATCTATTAAACCTAGAGAGCTATTAATTTTAAAATAATTTAGAATATACTATTAGGGAAGTTGATATCTTTATAGTTTTACTAGTTATAGTATAAAGAAAAATTCTCTATATAGTTCAAGAAATCTAGATTTTTTTACTACCTAATAGTTCTAGGTTATAGTACTAATACTAGTAAAGTAAATAAAACTAAATCTAGAGAGAACTACTAATTTATTAGATATAGTAGCTATAAATAGAAACATTAAAGAATTAATATATATACTAAAAAGATTAGAAATCTCGTAATATAATAGATCTAATGATATAGATATAGGGATAGCTGCAAAAGTAATAGTATCTAAAAAGCAAATTTATAATATAGCTTAAAAAGGCTATATATATAATAATTAGAAAAGGAAACCTAGTCTTTTATATACTTAGAAATTATGTAATTTATTATGAAGCTATCTAGTGATCTAGAATTCGCTAGGAAAAATAATATTTTTAATAATCTAAAATATATCTTACTTTAAATCTAAATATCTAAACGAATACTATATATATTAAGCTAATATTAAATATATAGACTAGGTAGTATATATCGTGATTACTTATAACTTGTTTTTCTAGAGTTTCTTACTAACCCGTCCTATAGAATTCTATACGGTATTCGAAGCCTTTTAAAGTTATTTCCTAATATAGTAGCTGTAAATTAGGAATGTTTCTACGAGCGGGTTTAGAGCGGGGTATATAGAGTATAACTATACGTCTTATGCGACCGTATAGCGCAGTCTCTCTATCTAAACAAACTCGCAACGTAGACAAGAAATATAGAACAACTTAATAAATTCCGAATAAATCTCTACCTTTCGAGATGTCTCGATAGCGCCGTTTTTACCATCCGTACGGCTTTAATGCCTACGATTACCGTTACAACTTTGCTAGGTCCCTCGGTAAACGTATTACGCTAAAGAAGTACGGGTTTGTACTACGATAGCTAGGTTCGTTCGCTAATTCTGTTTCGAAGCCCGACTTAGCGTCGCGACTTCTTTGCTCTTAAGTATACCCTTCGTAAGGTTCAGAAATATATAGACAAAATCAAGGACCTTAAGGCCGAGATTCGGACTCTAAACGAGCGTATCTACGACTTAGAAACGCGCCGTACGTAAGCTACTGCCCGCCTTTAAGGTTTGCCGCCGCGTTTGCGTTTCTAAAGGCTTTAGTCGCTGTTTAGTATAACGAGAATCTACCGATAGTTATACCGGGTCCCCTCCCTCTTCCGGAGCCCTAAATCGAGGATTTGCTAACTCTAAACTTAGAAGAATTTACCGCCGAACGTAAGTATAAACTAGAATACCGAAACGAGTACTAATTTTTGTTTTAGAAATCGAAGAAATTCTCGGAGGCTTAGACATTTAGAGCTACTAATATCGCTCTAAGATAGGCTATATATAGCCTATATAACTACCAAACACTATCGTTAGTTAGGGGTAATCTAAAACCCTACTAAAACTTTGATTTAGGCCTTGTTTTTTTTTGTTTTTTTATCCTTTAAGATTTAAAGAGATTATTAGATATACTAAGAGAATAAACAATTGGTTTTAGTCTCAATCTATCCTGTATAATAATAGAATTTTTATCGTATTCGTAGGAAGGCTATAAAAGCCCTAGAAGCCGGGGGCCCCCGATATTAGACTTTGAGAAATCTAACGCAATCTAAAGCTAAAGTAGTATAGATTCGGGACTAAATAGTAGTATTCTAGGTCGGACTTAGTACAGATCTATCCTATATAACGACAGAATTTATATCGTATACGTAGGAAGGCTATAAAAGCCCTAGAAGCCGGGGGGCCCCGATAATAGACTTTTAGAAATCCAACGCAATCTAACGCTAAAGTAGTATACATTGGGGACTAAATAGTAGTATTCTAGGTCGGACTTAGTAAAAGTCCATCCTATATAACAACAGAATTTATATCGTATACGTAGGAAACCCTATAATCTCTAATATAAATATTTCTAGTAGTTAAATAGAATAACCCTTAATTATAAAAGAGTATCCTCTCTAGATCTTAGTCTTATTACATTTTTTCCTATACTGTAGCATTAAACTAAGCAAGTACTATTGGTACTTATAAAGCCAATATCTAGCATTATAGTACTATATTCTTCTATTATTCTCTATATTTATACTATAGGCTATACTAACTTCTCATCTAATTAAAACCTGTTTTAGCGTCTAGGTCTATATCTGTATTGTCTATATCTAAAGCATCGTAGTCTTTATCTTTACTAAATTCTTTATCGTCTTTACTTAGAAGCCCTATAGTTTATTCTAATTCCTCTAAATCTAAATCTTCCTTAGTAGCCTTTTCTTTTCCTTTATTACTCGAACTAAATGCTTCTAGAATTCTTTCTATATCTACTTCTTTATCTTTTATTATATCTTCTTCGTCTTTAATAACCCCTAGACTCTTTAATATAATAAGTTTCTTAAGATTCGCCGAGCTAAGTCTATTACGTTTCTTTATTAATCTATCGACTGCTATAGAGAACTACGACTCGCTAGGTACCGATGTTGCTAACATAGATAGCTAATCTTAAGCTATATTATAAATAATAGGTAGTCTATACTCTATACTTCTATAATAATCTTCTAGTAAATTTCTATTATTTCTATCGTTCGGCACTCTAGGCTTAGATAAGTAGGTCTCTAACTCGTCTGTTTCTAATCGTACTTTATTATCTTTAATATAGAATTCGTCGTCGCTGCTATCGTTATTATTCGCTCTAGAACTACTAGCAACCGTAACTTACGATTCGTTATAAATATCTATACGGCCCCCAGTACTATTATACTCGCTTTTATAACTATTATATATTTCTCTTAGATAATCTTTTACTTTATTTATTATAATAGGGCTAAAGTTAAGCGGAGGACTTTCTAAAACTTATAACTTCAAATACGGATTCAGAACCGTCACAACTAGCAAGTCTT